GGTGATTCAGCAGTGCCTCTGCCCACTCCCAGAGCAGGGAGCAGCCGTGCCAGGGGCTGTTTACCAGCTCACAAAGTGCCAGGCAGCTGGTTCTGGGCACTGAATTTCCACAGCAGCATCTTCTCCCAGTGGGGAGGAGGTGGGCTTGGTAGGGGGCAAGACACCCTGCAGCAGGCCCAGCTTGGGCTGCTGGGATTTGCAGCACTGGGATTGTGCTGGTCTCCCAGCCTAGGACAGCACATGCCAGCCCTGGCAAATGGGGAAGGTGGATTGCAAGATGCTGTGGCTGGAGGCATTCTCCAGGTTAGAAACATCCCTGGTTCAAAGGTCCCCAAGGTGCATTTAGCACTTGTGTGGGTGCGTTGGCAAACAGCAAGGTGTCGGCCCCGTGTTGATTCTGGCAAGGAGAAAATCCTTTCCCTTACCAAGAGCAAAATCAAATGCCTTGGCAAAGGGATACACATGTGCTGGAGGTTCTGTTGATGCTCCTGGAGGCATCACAATGTTACAGGAGACTGTACTGGAGCCTCCCAGCCAGTGTGTGCTGCCAGTGACAGGATTTGGGGGCAGGGGAAGGACAAGGCTGGCATGGAGGTGCCAATCCCCATGGAAGCCCAGGGCATTGTGTCTAGCCAAGTTTTCCCAAAGCCCATTCTGAGTCCCGTCCCCTTTCACCCATACAGTGTGTTGTAGCAGAAGCAGAGGGATTGAAGCCCAGTGGCACCCCTGGTGTGATGGAAACAGGCAGGAAAGCAGGAGAGTATGGGAGAGCAGGGGTTCAGCCCTTAGAGGCCATCAGAGACTGTGCAGCAGCAGTGGGGCTGGGCTCCTGCTGTGCTCCCTCTGCCCAGCTTCTGGTGGTCAGCTGCTCAAATCAGCCTGAGGATTGCCTTTGGGACAGGTATGTGCATGGCAGTTCTTCCTCCAGCTCCTCCCTACTACCCTGAGCCCCTGGAAAATGGACTGGGAGGAGAGAGGATGCTCTCGGTGCTGTGCCAGGCTGCAAATGCATTGCCTTCATCATCACCCTCGTGCCACAGGCTGACAGGGCCCATTTGGCACTGGATGCAGGTGTTGAAGGTGCTGCATGAAAGCCAGGTACCGGGGGTTTGAAAGAACTCATACACACTGAGCAGCCATTGGATGCAGGTGTTGAAGTGGCTGCATGAAAGCCAGGTACCGGGGGTTTGAAAGAACTCATACACACTGAGCAGGAGCTCCAGTGGTGGGGAAGTTTAAGTCTGTTTTCCTGCCTGCTAGCAACTGAGAGGGCAGGGGGAAAATGAGGGGGTGTGCAGGGCTGGGGTGTCACATTGTGCTGGGGCTCTGTGGGGCTTTCCCCTCTGCCTTGGCCGCTTTCCCTCCAGGGGCCCTGAGCCATAGCTGTGCAGCTATTTAGTTAAATATTAAGAGGTCAAGTAATAGAGAACCAGAAACCTAATTACACGCTGCCCTCCATGGCACAGTAGTTTTTGGCAAAAGCAAAGCAAACACGGCCCCTTGTGTTACAGGAAGGTTGTGCTGCTGCTGTTGCTGCTGGAGCAATGGCCAAAATCCAGGCAGACAGTGAGTGCTCAGGACAGTGAGCAGGCAGGAGCTGCCACGCTGCTGCAGAGAGGCCAGTGCTCCCAACTGAGCCCAGTGCTCCCAGCACGTTGTGGGGCCACCACGCATCTCACACTTAACCCTGTCCTCCATCTCCTGCCCAAAAAATAGCCGCAGCCATGCTGGGTTTGGAGTAGCTTTATCTGGATAACCCCCCATCCATGGGGCAGCCTCTGTGGTCCCACCCCCCTGCCTGGGATCCAGGGCTCCTCCCCATCATGAGGCCGCTCTCCAGGCCTCCCTCAGCCTGGCCTTCACCTGAAACTTCTGCACCTGCAGCACAACACCAAACTTGCCCTCCAGCGAGGGCAGGGGCTGGTCCTCAGGGCACTCCAGTGTGAACCTCTGCAGTACCCAGGCCAGGAAGAGGAAGAGCTCCATCTTGGCCAGGACTTTTCCCAGGCAGACACGGATCCCAGCTCCGAAGGGGAGGTAGCTGGGTGAGGGTGAATGGATGTGCTGGCCCCGCTCATCCAGGAAGCGGCCTGCAAGGGGAAGGGGCACCACTGGCATCACAGGCTGACCCTTCTGCCTGAGACCTGCATGAGTTCACCACGTGTGTCCCTCCCAGGAGCTGCAGGACCAAGAGGTGTGAATGCCTCAGGCGGGCAGGAGCAGGATCCAACCACCCAAGCCTCCCCCAGGGCTACGCCTCTCCTGCTGCACCCACCCGGCCATCCCCTGGCCCAGGAGGGAATGAGGATCACACAACCCACCAGGATTGAACTCCTCAGGCTTGTCCCACTCCTTCTCGTCGTGGTGCACAGACCAGAGGTTGATGATGACCCTGGCCCCCTTGGGGATGGAGTATTCCCCAATGCTGCAGAGCAGACACAGAGTGAGGCAGTGGCTCCCTCCCCACGGTCTCTGCCCATGACCTGGATGTGCCCCGGGGGTCTCACCTGGTGTCGGCAAGGGACACATGCGGGATGAGCAGGGGGGACACGGGCCGGATGCGCAGCACCTCGCTGATGGTGGCCTCCAGGTAGGGCAGCAGCGGGCGGTCGCTGAGGTGGGGGTGACGCACCAGGCCGATCTTGTGGTCCATTTCCTCCTGGATCTTCCTCTGGATCTGGGGAAGCAAGGACCATTGTGAGAGCCCAGGGAGCAAGGTGCCCTGTGCACAGTGGAGTACACCCAGCATCATCGGCGTGTCCTGTCAGCTTGTGTGGGCAGAAGTGCCCGCAGCCTGATCCTGCTTATCTGCAGAGCCTGACTTCCCTTTTGGCCCCTGCCTTCCCCAAAACTCCCCAAGACATCCCTGGTGCTGGAGGGAACCCAAACCCTTGCTGTAGGGTGCAGACCCTACCTCAGGGTAGTGGAGCAGGTAGAGCACAGCCCATTTGAGCACAGTTGTGGTGGTCTCCACACCAGCCCCAAAGATGTCCCCCACGGTCATGAGGAGGTGGTCATCAGTCAGCTCCAGCCCTGGCTCCAGAGGGCTGCTGTTCTCAGCACTGAGCCTCACTTGCAGGAGGGCATCCATGAGGTCCTTCACCGTGTCTCCACAGAAGGCTTCCTGCCGAGGGACATGCATGAGCCAGGCTGTCCTGGCACAGTGCCCACCACCCCAGCCCCAGCACCTCCCTGTCCTGGCCCTGCTGGCACCTTGTGTTCAGTGAATTTCTGCTGGAGCAGCTGGTCCCGGACCTGGAGGCATTTCTTCAGCAGGGTCAGGTCCTTGTTGGGAAATATCTGAGGGAGAAAAGCACATTACAACAGGCTACAGCTCAGCCCAGCCCAGCCCCTGCAGGCCCCCAGGCAGTGTACTGGCTCTTGTGGGTCACCAGGACAGGGATGCTCCTACAGGACACATCCCAGCTCCTTCCTCTCATCTGAGGTGAGAGGAATGGGCAGTGCCCGTGTTCCTGCTCACCTGGAGCCAGGGGAAGATGTCCACCAAGCTCTCCTTGGCCACGGTGTCCACGATGCCCTGGCTGTACTCCAGCATGGCCTCGAACTCGGGGTCCCCACGCCGGTATGAGGAGTTGAAGCAGAGGGAGCAGACCACGTTGGTGACGGCCCGAGTGAGCTCGGGGGCCATGTCCAGGGCCGTGTCCTGCGCGGCGCTGAGCGTCTCGCACAGGGAGGCGGCCTCCCGGCAGACTGGGGGGAGGACAGGCAGGCCAGGGGTGGTGAGGGAGTGATGATTATGCCCAGGGATGAAAGGGGCAGCTGGGGGCTGGAAGGAGGGGTCCCCTGCTCACACAGGGTGTGCGGCCTGCAGAGGGGCTGGGATGGGCAGAAGGGACAATGCTGGGTGCTGGGGAGGAGCAGGGAGAATGGAGATGTGCAAGGATGTCCTCCTGGGTGGAGCGGGGAGCTGGCTCCATGCCTCAGTCTCCCCATCTGTGAGTGAGGGGAGCTAAAGTTTAGGGAAGAAAACACATGGAGAGGTGCTGGTAAAGTACAGGGGATATGAGGAGAGGGACAGAGCCCCTGCCTGGCAAGCTGAGGGAATACCAGGGGACACGGGCTGAGCCACTGTCTTTCCTTCGTTCCCAGGGAATCGGGGCACTTAAGAAGAAAAAGTACAGCGTGGGAGGGAACCAGAGCTGGGAGGGAGCCTGGGGCTGGAGGGAGGCACTTACTGATCCTCTCGAGGGCGAGGGAGCCCTCCCCGAACATGGAGAGGGCAGTGTGCACCAGCTTGCGCTGGAACTTCCAGAGGGGCCCGTAGCTGGCGAAGGCGATGTCCTTGCCGCCCCGCGACAGCAGGTCCGTGGTCACCTGAGGGACAGGCAGGGTCATCCCACCGCAGGGCAGCCCCGCGGGGATGCATGATCATCTCACCCCATCCCACACAGCGTCCGGGGGGCTGGAGGTTAATGCAGGCAGGCAAAGCACAGGACGTGAGGTTTGCTTTCCCCCTGCCAAGGACTGATAAAGAGTTAGGGGCTCTAGGATGCCCGGGGAGCTTAGGGGGTGCAGGGAGCCTGGTAGCAGCTGTACCCACATCCCCGTGGGGTGCAGGAAAAGCAGGCACCCTTGGGCTGGAGGATGGCAGGGCTCGCCCTGGGCAGCGGGGTGTGGAGGGTGCAGGCAGGATGGCTCGGGGACGCGGACCCTGGGCCGTGCCGGTGTCTGCCTCGGGAGCGGCCCCTCCGCACCCCGCGCCGCAGCGGGAAGGGGTCCCCGGGACCTGCTGCCGACTCACGGTGCGGGGCCGTCCGGCGAAGTCTTTGCCCTTCTTCAGCAGCACCTCCCTGGCGTGCCGGTAGCTGTTCACCACCACCACGTAGTGGGAGCCCATCCAGAGGGCGTAGAGGCTGCCGTAGCGGCCCTGCAGGCGCCACAGCCGCAGGTGGAGCTGGGGGTGCCCGGCCAGCTGCAGCAGGCTCCCCACCAGCGGCAGGGCCGGCAGGCTCCGCGGGCGGCCCCGGCCCGTGGCCGCGGCGCTCCGCGGGGGGCCCTTATAGCGGCTGCGGGGTCGTCTCCTTGACTCTGAGGCGGGCTCGGCTCCTTATCGGGGGGACAAGGAGGGGGGAGCCGAGCGCTGGGCCCCCGGCCAGCTCCGCAGCTGTGGGCGCATGGCGGGGGGCGAGGGCAGCGGGGCCACGGCCAGCCTGGGTGGCCATGGGGAGCCGCTTCCAGCGCGCTGGGGGCCAGGGGATGCCCAGGGCCGGAGCCGTCCTTGGGGTTCCGTCCCCAGGGCCCTGTGGGGACAGCTCGAGGTGTGTCCTGGGTGCCGTGAGCACAGCCGGGGGCTCTGCCGGGGCACTGGAACCCATCGCAGCCGGGGAGCGCCTCGACAGATCCGGGCGGGAATGGGCAGCACGAGACACGTGGGAAAGCGCGGAGCATCCCTCATCATCAGCTCTTGTCAGGGCTGGGGAGACACGGATAGCGCTGGACACCGCTGGGCAGCCCTCGGCAGTGCTGATGAGCGCCGGTCACCCCCCGGGACCATTGGTCAACCCTGGTCACTACAGGGCAAGTACTGGCCAGGGCTGAGAAACCCCGGTCAGCCTTGGTCTGTGCTTGTCAGTGCTGGGCAGCCCGTGGGTGTCTGTGCCCGAGGCGATGAGGTCTGTGTCCTCATCGGGGGAATCCTGTGGGAACTGACGCCCCTCCCGGCAGGATCCCCGGCCACCGCGGGCTCTGCGCCTTTCCGAGCCTTCAGGCCCTCGGCGCTCGCCGTAGCGGCTCCCGGGGGTAGGCGGGGCGGGGCGCGGGCGGGGTAAGATGGCGGCGGGGGGCGCGGCGGACGCCCAGGCGCGCTTTGGCCACTCGGTGAAGGGGCTCCTGACCGAGAAGGTGACGAGCTGCGGCACCGACGTGATCGCTCTCACTAAGCAGGTGCTGAAGGGCTCCCGTAGCGCCGAGGTGAGCGGCGGGTGCTGGCGGGCGGTCGATTACAGGGCCGGAGCGGAGGTGGGAGGGCGGCGCAATGCATACTGGGAGCTGTAGTCCGAGGAGGGGACCCATCCTTGTGTCTGGGCCGGGACCGGGACAGCGGGACCGGGCTGCGGGCACGGCTGGGCAGCGCCTCGGGACGATGGCAGGCGGGAGGGTGGCTGCCAGTTCCTCACGGTGACAGGTGGGAGCGGTGGATGCGCTGTCACGGCTCCGCGGTGGTCCCCGCACGGTGTCACCGCGAGTGTCACCCTGCCAGCCGTCTAGTCCGAGGAGGGGACCCATCCTTGTGTCTGGGCCGGGACCGGGACAGCGGGACCGGGCTGCGGGCACGGCTGGGCAGCGCCTCGGGACGGTGGCAGGCGGGAGGGTGGCTGCCAGCAGCTCCTCACGGTGACAGGTGGGAGCGGTGGATGCGCTGTCACGGCTTCGCGGTGTCACCGCGAGTGTCACCCTGCCAGCCGTCACGGGGCCCTCGGGAAAGGCAAAGCTGCAGCGCCTCAGCCTGGTCTGTTTGTCTTGTAGCTCCTGGGTCAAGCTGCGAGGAACATGGTGATGCAAGAAGATGCCATCCTGCACTCGGAAGATGTAAGCTGTGTCTTGTGCCCGAGCAGCAGCGTTTCTGGGGACGGGAGGAGAGGAGGGTGGTAAGAACAGTTTGCAGCCGTGCTGCCGGAGCCCTGGAGTCAAATACATGACTTCAGGCAGCGGGGCTGCTGGCCAGAATAATTCAGTGCTTCCTCAGAGCCAGAGCTGCTGGATTCCCGATGTCCTGCAGGCCGGCCAGCCCTCAAGCTGTGCCCTCCCTGACAGAAAGCCTGAGGCCTGTGGGCTGAAACAAAGCACTCGTGTCTCTGCTGTCACTGGGAAAGGAGAAGGAAGTGTGCCACTGCTGGCAGATACCAGCAGGGGTGTTTTGCAGTCAGTGCAGCAACAGTGGTGGCTGTGCTGGAGGAACCCCCAGGGCATTAGGACACTGCACTGTGATTTCTGTAGGCATTCATTCTTTGTTTCGTTCTCCACAGAGTTTAAGAAAAATGGCCATAATAACTACTCATCTACAGTACCAGTAAGTAGGCGTTCTCTCTTGGGGGCTAAGTGGATCCTTCAGTCCTTCTCTGTTCTCCTTAAAGACTTTGCATGAACCTGCCAGCTCAGACTGATCCCTCTTTTGCAGTTCTTCAAAGCTGAGCAGGCCTTGGAGCTGGAATTTTCCAGCCCTCTTCAGGCTGTTTTGGGGTGGGAGCTGAAATTTTTGCCTCCTGTTTGCCATGCACTGTGTCTCCCATGAGTGTGTATGATACACCTGGGACTAAGAAGGAGAAGCCACTGCTGCTTCTGTCCCCCAGAACTTAATCCAGAAACACCCTGGAGATTTGGCCTCTTGAGCCCTTGTTTGACATAACATAAACCGTGACTGGGATTTTGAGATTTTATTTTTCTAATGCTCTTTTTGTCTTTCCTTTTCTCATCTAGGCAAGAAGCAATTCAAAAGAAGTGAGTTCTGGGAGGACCTGGGGGACATGCATGTGGGGGTAGAAAGGGGAAGGTGATGGAGTTGGATGGGGGAAAGCAGAATGGAAAGATTTTTGCAGCTGCTGGCCCAGCAGGATAACACTTCAGTATTGTGAAGAGATGGGAATTTCAGTGAAGAGATGGGATTCATACCCAAGCTTCCTTTTGTTTCACTGATATGATAGAGCATGTGAAGTTGCTTGTGAGAGGAGATGAGGGTGGTGGGAGCAGAGCTGTGTACAGCGGGATGCAGGTTTACTTTGTGGGGACACAAGGAGGGGTCAGGGGACCCCAGGGTTTCTCTTTGCTGCAGTGTCAGCTCTAGAGCTGCTCTGTCCCTTGGGCACAGGCAGCACAGCACAGCCTGGGAGCAGATCTCACCATGAACCTCTTTGTGCCCAGCGTGGAGCGCTCGTCAAACCTCCAGGACCAGCTGAGTCACTTGCTGAAATGAGGGGGAGCCAAAGGCTTGAGGAAATCTCGACCAGCACTGAGGGAGTGAAGTGTTCTCCCCCCTCCAGCCCCTGGGGCTCAGAACTGTGTCTGGATGCTGCTGGATGTCAGCTGGGATATGTGCAGGGTCTGTGCTTCTGGGCACGTGGCCCCCTCTCGTGTGCCTGCACCCACACCTCTGCTCCAGAGTGCTCACCTGCACCTGCACCTGGCTGAAACAAACTTCCCTGAAACTTTGCTCTTCCCAATGATTCCTGTGTCTGCTTACTTCCCACGTAGTGTGAAGTGCTCAGCCCACCCCAGCACGCAAGAAATGCAGAGTTGAGGCATGGCGTTTAAATGCAGGTGCCTGCAGTTTGCCACTGCTCTGTATTTAGCCACAGAGGTGGCACAGAGTGCAGTTTATTTAGGGCTTTTTAATCAGTGTGAGCTGCAAGTGCCTGGGCGTGGGAGAGGTGCTTCAGTGTAGGCTGAGGTGCCAGTCCCAGCACAGAATTTCTGAGACCAGGAATCCGAGCACACACATCTGCCAGTGGCCTAGCTGGATGTGGTTTGGCCATCATCCTCCTCAGAGGTTATCTCATTTTCCTCTCTGCCAGAGTTTGGAACATCATCCCTTTGCCAGCCCATATGTGCTGCATTTGGCCTTCAGCTGCATTCCTTCTCCTGGGCTGCTGCTCCAGCTTTTGATGAAGCAGCCTTGGCTGTGGTGTGTGTTTGTGTCTGCTTGGGAAGGTATCCAAAGGCAGGAGAGCATCAGGAGCTGCTGTGCTCAGTTCTGCACTGCTCTGTTGAAGGCTAGTGAGCTGTTCACATGCAGGACCAGCTATAAATACTGTGTCTTGTTTTTGGTAAGTCACTTATCTGGAGCACTTGGAGTGCACGGGAAGCACTTGTTTCCCTGAGTGTGCTTTTCACCAGCTGATAGGAGCAGGCAGGCTGAGAGCCGACACGGGCCTGCCACATTCCTGTTGGAATGCTGCTGGAGTCTGGCTCCTGTGCTGCAGAGCCTTCTCAGACTAGATTTCACCATCCCTGCCAGTGTTTTTGCCTTGGGTGACATTCTGACCCCAGCTTTGCAGGTGCACTTTGGGAATGAGAGTTTTCCCTGTGACTGTCTTGCTGGTAATAAAAGCTGTCCTGAACACCACCAAACTGCAGCAGTCTGTCCTGGATTCTGTTGCTAGTGGTTCCTGTGCACTGGGGAGGCTGTTTGGGATGGTGGGTCTCTGCCCCCCAGGATCCCCCATTCTGCTTCAGCTCAGGGCTTTGCAGAGGCAGTGTGACCTTGCTGCAGGTGGCTCGTCCCTTCCAAAGTCCTCTGCAGAGGCTACAGCAGTCCCGTGGCATTACATTTGTGTCTCGCTGCCTTTGGGACAAGCAGGGACAGGGCTGCAGTGTGGAGGTGCAGAGCTGTTGGGGAGCAGGCAGCAGGGTGGGTTTTGGGGGGTGGCTGCAGCGAGACCATGGATGATGGCAGCGTGCTCAGCACGGGAGCGGCGCCGGCAGCCTGGCTGTGCCCGTGTGCTGCGGGGCCGTGTGCCAGGCCGGAAGGCTGGCCCGGGCAGCGTGGGATGCCGGGACAGCACGGGGTACTGGGGAGGAGCGTGGCCGGCTGGGCAGAGTCCGGCTGGGGCCCTGCAGCTGGAGGCAGTAAGACAGCCCAGCGCCTCTGCCGGGGCTGCCCTTGGGCCAAGGGCTCTGCAGAGCAGGGGAGGGGGATTTACCCTACAGGGATGCTTTGGGGGCTCGTCTCTCCAGGGCAGCTGGGACTGGATTTTTGGGGTGGAGGGGTGTTGTCAGGTGCCCCCTGGAGCATCCTGTTAGGGGGGATTTTCAGAGTTCTGCTGGGGGAGAGCAAAAAGTGCTGCGGTATCTGGGGGAAGAGGGGGATTCAGAGCTGTTGGGAGGCCCTGGTGTGGTGCCCATCTCTGTGGTGTCAGCTGCCAGCCCCACATTCCCGTTGCAGTGGCAGCTCCCATCGGAGAGCAGATCCACCAGGAGGTGCAGGTAAGGAATGTGGATGGGAGCTGGGCAGGGATGGGGCTGTTGGGCTGTGCTAGAGTTTCTGCTGCCATTAGAGGATAAAGCTTGTTTCTGGGCCCAGATGAAAATGCCAGGTGCACTTGGTAGCTTTGCTCCTGTTTCACACAGGAATGGGGGGTGGAGCAACCTGGCATTTCCCTGTCCTTGTTCCCTGTACTCTTCTCAGCCAGGGAAATGGTGGCTGCAGCCTGCAAAGTTACTTAAAATGGGAATTAAATTCCTTCTTGCACAAACACATCAGTGCATATGAGCAAAGGGAGATGGGGAGGATGGGGGCAAAGGGATGCCTGATCTGACTGTAGTTTTTGGCTAGGTGGAAATGAGAGTGCCAGTGCCAGAGGATGTGTGCACACGTACAGGCTGAGTGCAGGCATGGCCCCCATGTTTTAGAGCATAGGGAGCTCCCAGGGCTCAACTTGGCACAGTTTAGTGGCCTCTGTCATTCCCATCTCAGGACTACTACGGCAAAGAGCTACAGAAGTCAGAGGACCTCAAAACCAACGCGTGCATCACCTCAGCCAGGCCTGTCTCAAAGCTGGTGAGAGATGCTCTGGAGCGCATCCATGAGGAGGTGGTGGCCAGGTAAACCCCAGGGTCTCTCCTCCACTGCCACATCCCCGTGGGCTGCAGCCCCTTCTCGGCTGTGCCGTGGGGCACCTCCAGCCAGCTCAGCTCAGCATCCCCCAGGTACTACGGCTGCGGTCTGGTGATCCCTGAGTGCCTGTCCTCGTGCTGGATTCTGGACCTGGGCAGCGGCAGCGGCAGGGACTGCTACCTGCTGAGCCAGCTGGTCGGGGAGCAGGGCCACGTCACCGGGATAGACATGACCCAGGGCCAAGTACGGCACGGATCTGGGGCTCCCCCTCATCCTTCCTGCAGCTCCCCCACATGGTTCCCTTCCTCCTGCCAGGTTGAGGTGGCGAAGAAGCACATTGCCTACCACATGGATAAGTTTGGCTACCGAAAGCCAAACGTGGAGTTCTTCCATGGCTACATGGAGAAGCTGGGTGATGCCGGACTGGCTGATGAGAGCTATGATATTGTCATGTAGGTGTCATGCAGGGCACAGTCACCCCCAATCCTGCTGCTTCCTGGGGCTGTGGGCTGGGTCTGCATCCCAATGGGTCACTGCTTCAGAAGTGTTAAAAAGGAGAAAAGGGAAATCCCAAGCCAGAGTCTGGACTAGAGCCTGGGAATATTAACTGCCTTTTTCATGGTCAAATTGGTGTTTCCAAATGTGTGAAGTGATGGGATACACAGCAGCTGGTGGTGCCAAGTGTGCAAGAGGGTGTAAATAAGCCTTGGTCTCCTCCCCCACAGCTCCAACTGCGTGATCAACCTTGCCCCTGACAAGAGGGCTGTGCTGCAGGAGGCCTTCCGTGTGCTGAAGGTGATGGTGGGCTCATGCCCGTGGCAGCAAAGCAGACTTGGGGTGGTCCTTTTGTTGGAGTGCCATTGAGAAGCAGCAAATGGGATCTGGCAAGGCATGGATGCAGGATGGGGTCAGGGGAGGGCATCTCGGGCATCTCTGCGAAGGGTCCCAAGCAGGGTAGGATTAGGCGGTTCCCAATTCTCCTTGCCCCTTTTGTCTCTTTGCTTCTTGAGGCCTCCCTTCACTCCTTGCTGCCCTCCAGCCTGGGGGAGAGATGTACTTCAGTGACGTCTATGCCAGCCAGAGCCTGAGCGAGAGCATCCGGAAGCACCGGGTGTTGTGGGGTGCGTAGGGCTGCGGGATGGGGGTGACGTGGCACGGGGGGACCGGACCTTTGCCTCCATCCCCCGTGTCTGTGGTCTCGTACCAGGAGAGTGCCTGGCAGGAGCCCTGTACTGGAGAGACCTGTACAGCATTGCTGAGGAGGTGGGGTTCAGCCCCCCATGCCTGGTCACCGCCAGCCCCATCTCCATTGGCGACAAGGAGCTGGAGGGCATTGTCGGTGAGGATGCAGCCAGGGAGTGCCAGCTGTGGGAAGCTCTGCTGGGATCCCAGCCCAGGTGTTGAGTGCCCAAGCCACCAACCTCTCCCTTGCAGGCGACTGCCGCTTTGTTTCCGCAACTTACCGCCTGTTCAAGGTGCCAGGTGCCAGCCGGACGGGGCCAGGACAGGTCACCTACCAGGGCGGGATTGTGGGGCACGAGCGAGAGCTGGTGTTTGATGCCAACTTCACCTTCAAGGTTTGGGGAAGCATGCTGGGGCTCTGTAGGGAAGAGTTAAAGCTGATGAAGCTGCTAGTCAGCAGCATCCTCTGTGATCTGGGGGGCAAGCTTTGGTGGAGGGGATGGTGGGTGGGAGCCGAGGGGCTGTGTAAACCCAGGGGAGTGCAAGTGTACAGGAAAGGGAGACAGATGCATCCATTGCTTTGTGATAATGGTAGAAGTAGCCATCCATGATGGCTTCCCAGAATGGTTTGAAGCCTGGTGCTTGGGTTTTGTGGGTGCTTCTTCAGGTTTTGGGCCAAGACATGCTCCTGCTTTCACTCTCCCCATCATCTGGCTGGAATCCCCTGGGACACATATCTAGGACCCCAGACCTGTGACCATTCCTCTGCCCCCAGGAAGGAGAGGTGGTGGATGTGGATGCTGAGATGGCTGCGATCTTGCAGAGCTCCAGGTTTGCAGAGAAGTTCCTGATCCGAGCTGGCGGAGCAAACACTGCAGCACCGCAGGGCTGCTGTGGCAAGAGAGTGAAGGTTGGTAGAGGGCAGCTCCGTGGCTGGGTTAAGGAATTGGGACATCAGAGTTCCTGTGGGGTATCAGAAGGGCTCTAGCATGATACCTGACTCCTTCTGGGCTGGGCAGGAACTTGTGGGAAACCAAGAGTGGTGCCTGGTGCCTGAGTTGGGACAAACTGTACCCCTACCCAAGCTGGAACCCTCCAAAGGGGCATCTGCTCTAACCACCCCAACATGTCCATGGGAACTGGTGAGGCTGACAGCTGGACTCCTCTGAGGTGTCCCAAGGGGAGTCATCCTTCCCCCTGTGCACATTCTGCCCCAGGGAGATGATGGCCCATCCCCACAGTTTCTTCCTGCCCATTGCTGTCCTGCCTGCTGATGGAAGATTAGGTTGGCCCTGGCTGCCAACCCTGACCCTGCAGCACAAAACATTCTATCTGCTGGAAGCCTATCTCTTCTCCTTGGTGGTCCCTGCAGCCTGTAGATGGGCCAGGAGATAGAAGGGAGATAACACCCTGCAGCTGCGTATCCCTGAAATACAGCCTCGTGCTTAGGAAGGGGAGATTTTCTCAGGACTCTGTCCAAGCAGGAGGCATTTCTCAGATAAAGGCAGAGCCAAAGTCCCAGACAAGCTCTTGGCTTCTTCCTTGCTGCAGGAAAAAGCAGCGGGAGTGACCCAGAGGCTGTCCCCCATGATAGCTAAGGAAGTGCCAAGTGCCACTTTCTCAGGTGCCTCTTGCTTCCCACTGGCCTGATCCTGCCCTGGGTTTTTCTCTGTCCTTCAGGAGAAGATCTGTGATCCCTTCCAGCTGCTGGAGTGCCTGAGAGCCCCAGGTCCTGCCAGCTGTCGTGGTGGCACCTGTGGTCCCCCAGGGTGCTGCTGAGTGGCAACTGGTGTCCCCACATCCATGCTGGAAGTCAGTGGGGCTAGAGGACATGTTCCCAGTGATGTATTCCACCAGAGAGCAAATAAATACATGTCTGAGCTCAAAGGCTGTGTGTTTGTAGCTGCCACAGGGCCGTGGGTGCTGTGCTTCCCTGGCAGGGCTGGTGGGGCAGGTTGTGCCTGGTTGCAGTGAGGACCTGTCCTGTGAGTCCCTCACTGTGGGGCTGACAGTGCCTGCGTGGCTTGGACACACAGGGACAGTTTCTGCCTCACTTGCAGCCCTGCAGCCTGTTCCAGGTGGGGATTGCTCTCTCTTTCCCTGTGCAGTGCCACTGAGGTTTCTATTTCCCCTGGACTCCATCTAGTTGGAAAGCCCTGAGTCACCTGCAGAGTTTTGCAGGGAAATTCAGCATCTGAGTCCCCTGCAGGCATTGAACCTGCAGAGTTTTGCAGGGAAATTCAGCAGTTCTGGAAAAGCAGTAATGCATCCAGCTGCATCCCACAGCAGGCAAAGAGCAAGGTGGGAGTGCTTTTAGGGTGTGGTGGGAGGTGATGCACTGCACTCCTGCTGCCCGGCATGAATCCCACAGGACCTGGCCCACAGAAAGTTCTTGGGAAAGGCTGGGGGCTGCTGAACAGCTAAACTTAGAAGTAAGGGACCATTCTCACCCCTCCTCACACAGTAATTTTACAGGAGGGGCCAAATTTCCCATCTCTGCCATTTAAGCATGATCTTTTGTGGCATGGGGGAAGTTAAGAAGCAAAACCCAATGATATCTGGGTTCCAAAATAAACAGGCCAATGCCGAGGATGCTCTGCCATAGTAGTAGCAGTGGCTGAGGAGGGTCCAGATGTTCAGGACACCTGAAATTGTTCTGAAATTGTGTGGAATGACCTCACTGATGGGACCTTGGGAGGAAGGAGCTGTTTAATACACACACCCCACCGCCAGCCCTCTTTCTAGATTACTTACAAAGAATTCTTCCATGGGAGGTTTGCAGCAATTAGCTCCTGCTATCAAAGACAGCCTTCCCAGTGGGAAGGGAAGAGCAGGTGGAGTCCTACCTGCAAATCCCTTCATTAAAAAGACATGAGTCCCTGTTATGGCCTTTCAACTTGCCTGGGAAGAGCTGCACCCGCAGTGAGATCCCCGCTCTGTGCATACAGAAAAAGGCCACAGCTCAAATGCCACTCTATTTGCATTGCACTATGCTTTCCCAAATTCTCAGCATGTCAGGAAGGAAGCAGCTAAGAGAACTTTGATGTGGAGCATTAAGGCCCTCACCAGGCGGTGTCTCTTTGCCTGGCTTTACTTGTGCATGCACAGCCTTGGGGTTTTCAGCCCCCAGTGCATGAAAAGAGGGGGTCCTGCAGCCCTATCCCGTGTGAGGAACCCCGACATAATCTGTCCAGCAGCCCAGTCTGTAGTTGGTGATTGTAGAGATGGCCCAAATCCTGTTCTCCTAGTGTGAAGCTCCGCAGCATTGGTGTCCTCCCTCGGCAGGCAGAGAGGGCTGTGATGGCAGCAGCCAGAGGCTGTGATGGTCTGATTCACTGAGGGAAAAGGGATGGGATTCCTGAGTCCTGCTAACCCTGTGGTTAGCAGGGTGTCGCTGTGGTTCAGGGACACCTGTCACCTCCTTAGGGGGGGAGCAGAACTCCCTCAGGATAAGCTGAATGTGGTTTGGGACCAGGAAAGATTTGTGGCTACAGCCCTCAGAGCACTGTGCTCTGCTCCACATCTTCTTGGGTTGCTCTGCACAGTTTATTCTTCCATTTTCTGCACTTAAACAGTAGGGGAGGCTGTTTTACTGCCTCTGTAGGGTGTCAGCCACCGCAAGCCATGCTGGCTGCTCCCACGGCTGTTTGTCTCTGGCTCCCCAGGATGCTGAACTGTTTCCCGGCTCCTTCATAAGTGACGGACATGGAGCGATGATGGCCGGGCGTGGGGTGTGTGTTACCCCAGCTGGGACTGCGGCACAGCGGGGCTCTCAGGGCGGCGGGACACGGCACAGGGAATGCGCAGGTGCTTTCTCGGCCCTCTGTGCACCCCTGAACTGGGGATGAGCAGGGACAGCTGGGGAGGCTTTGGATGTGCCCAACAGGAGCTCCAAAGCCCGGCCCCGCTCACCTCACGCCGCGGCACGGGGCGGCGGAGCGCAGCAGAGGTGAGCGAGGAGCGCGGCCCGTCCGTATTCGGTATTTAATGGTTAATTCCGCCCTCAGGCGCGACACAGCCGAGGAGCTGTCGGGGCGGAGGGGGCCCGGGCCGCAGTGCGACAGATTTCTGGAGCGTCGCACGGTACTGCACCGGCGGCGGCTGGGGGCCGCCTGGGGAACGGGCAGGGCTGAGGGAGCGGCCGGGGCACGCCGCAGGCGCCGCGCGGTGATGCGGGGCCGCGGCGGCGCCGAGCCCTGACTAAAGATGGCCGCGCTGCCCGGTGGGAATATGGCGGGGGGCGGCCGGGGGGCGCGGGTGCTGCTCTTGCTGCTGCTCGGCGGCTGCCTGGGCCGGCGGCCCCCGGCCGCCGCCGCTGCCGCGCCGCCCGCCGCCGTCGTGCCCCCGCCGGCGGCGGAGGAGACGGTGATCATCGGCCTGCGGCTGGAGGACACGGACGACGTCTCCTTCATGGAGGGGGGCGCGCTGCGGGTGAGCGAACGGACGCGGGTGAAGCTGCGGGTCTACGGGCAGAACATCAACAACGAGACGTGGTCGCGCATCGCCTTCACGGAGCACGAGCGGCGGCGGGGCGGGCGGGCGGCGGCGGGGGCGGCGGCGGGGCGGCGGGCAGCGGCGGGGCCCCGCAGCGCTGCGGCATCCGCACCTCGGACATCATCATCCTGCCGCACATCGTGCTCAACCGCCGCACCTCGGGCATCATCGAGATCGAGATTAAGCCCCTGCGCAAAACGGAGAAGAGCAAGTCCTACTACCTGTGCACCTCCGTGTCGGCCCCCGCCGCCGCTGCCCTGGGGCCCGGGGCTCCCGGAGGGCTGGCGGGCGCCGAGGGGCCCGCGGGACCCCCGCCCTGGGGCGAGACCACTTGGATCTACCATGACGGCGAGGACACCAAGATGATCGTGGGCGAGGAGAAGAAGTTCCTGCTGCCCTTCTGGCTGCAGGTCATCTTCATCTCGCTCCTCCTGTGCCTCTCGGGCATGTTCAGTGGCCTCAACCTGGGCCTGATGGCCCTGGACCCCATGGAGCTGCGCATCGTGCAGAACTGTGGCACGGACAAAGAGAAGAACTACGCCAAGCGCATCGAGCCTGTGCGGCGTCAGGGCAACTACCTGCTGTGCTCCCTCCTGCTGGGCAATGTCCTGGTCAACACCACGCTTACCATCCTGCTGGACGACATTGCCGGCTCTGGGCTGGTGGCCGTGGTGGTCTCCACCATCGGTATCGTCATCTTCGGCGAGATCGTGCCGCAGGCTATTTGCTCTCGGCACGGCCTGGCCGTGGGCGCCAACACCATCTTCCTCACCAAGTTTTTCATGATGATGACCTTCCCGGCCTCCTACCCCGTCAGCAAGTTGCTGGACTGTGTCCTGGGCCAGGAGATCGGCACGGTCTATAACCGTGAGAAGTTGCTGGAGATGCTGCGGGTCACCGACCCTTATAACGATCTAGTCAAGGAGGAGCTCAACATTATCCAAGGAGCCCTGGAACTGCGCACCAAGACTGTGGAGGACGTGATGACTCCCCTCCGAGACTGCTTTATGATCGCTGCCGAGGCTGTGCTCGACTTCAACACGATGTCTGAGATCATGGAGAGCGGATACACCCGCATCCCTGTTTTCGAGGGTGACCGCTCCAACATCGTGGACTTGCTCTTCGTTAAGGACCTGGCTTTTGTGGACCCCGATGACTGCACGCCACTCAAGACCATCACCCGCTTCTACAACCACCCGCTGCACTTTGTCTTCAATGACACCAAGCTCGATGCCATGCTGGAGGAGTTCAAGAAAGGTGGGCTCGTGCCCGTGGCGGGGGCGCGGTGGGGAGGTGCTGCTCGGTGGCGGTCAGTGCCCACCTTCTTGCAGCAAGGGAGCTCCACAGCGGGGCCTCCTGCTCACGGAGGGCTGTGGGAAGGTGCTTTCTGGGCTGTGGGTGACCAGTATTCAGACGTCTGCCAGACCTGCTCCTTCCCTGGGCCAGAAAGCTGATGTGCCCCCAGCCTTTTTTCCCCCACTGCACTGGGATGTGTGTGTGGGCATGGTGCCAAGCAAGGTTGTTTTCCTTCTTGATTTTTCCACTCATCTGTCCGTTATAGTGAGAACCACTGACGGGAATCCGCGCCCATTCCTTGGCTGTGTCTTCTCTGTGCTTTTTCAGCTGGCCTGACTGGGAGGAGTGGGTGGGCTGCTCGGTGCCTTTCAGGCTCAGTGCACACACGTGCTGAGATAAACAAGGCGTTTTAGCTCCATTCATAGGCTCAGCCAGCCGACCTCAGCTCTCTGCTCGTGTTCCAGTGGCTTTGATCTTGTAACTCATAAATCATTTCAATGTCTTATTACAATATATTACAGAGCACCTGTTGGTGCTGCACTTCAGAGTTACAGCTCTTTTTCCCCAGGCTACCGTGTGCTTCAGGACCATGGGCTCAGTAGGGATGTGACCCTTTCTACCTCTTTGGTGTAGCTTGCGTATTAGTTGCATCAGAATGGGACTGAGGTTTTCTGCCTTCTCTTAATTGTAGGTGGTGCTGACTTGAAAAAAGCATCTTAATTCTTGTTAGAAGGTCTTGCTTGTAAGTGTGGAAAAAGCGTCATTGCTTATGAGTAAGGAAAAAACATATTTTTGTTTTCCTTTTAAAATCTGTTAAATTCTCTGTGGCCTGTGCAGGAAAGAGCATTCAAAGTAGTTGTAAAGTGAAATTTCAGACAGTTTGGATGTGTGGACTCCTTTGCTGGAAAAAGGCTATTTAGAGTGCCACCAGACTCCTGGGTTCATACCCCGGGAGATCTGATCGAAGTACCACGAAACAGCTCAGTTCCTGGGGGGTGATTTGCTTGAGAGGGGAAATCTAGTGGAGAATATGTGAGCTCACCTTTTATTAACTGCATAAATTACCTTGAAAAAAACCTTTGTGAATTGGTGAATGTTCTTTCCAGATAAGTTTAAATTACGACTTAAGTTTCAGTTGCTGTTTTGTCCACATGCTAAGCTCTCGTGTCGTGGCATTGGATCTTCTTCATCCTGTTTAACTCAGTTTTGGGGATTTGGAGGGTTACCTCATGTTTATTTCATCTTTGTGTATAGAAGATGAATATACTCCTGCTTTTTACTGACCAGTGCAGTGGTGGTTATCTTTATCTCTTTCAGCCTGTGTGTAGAGATGGGGAAGTCTTACTTGGTTTTGGAGGTGTTGAAGGAGAGATGAGGGAGGGCCTCCCTTGGCTGAGGTTTCTACACTGCAGGATCTGCAGCTTGGATGTGGGAAACTCAATGATGTCACTTAACTGTAGGCTGGTTGAGGTGGATTTTGCTGCATGTGTGAGTAAAGGGTGGTTCTTTTTCCTTTCTGTCCCTGCTGTTCAGACTCCAGGTAGCACAGTAGGGTTCTTAGCCTGTAGTGAGGCTTGTGGGGGTATTCTAGTTCTGTATGCAGCAGCGTGTCTGAAGAAATGCATGTTACGTTGGTGGTTTATTTCCCTGGTCTGAAAGGATGGAATGCACTCCTGTGTGTTAGCACAGTCCTTTTATTTAACAGCTGGGAGAATTAGGTGTGCGCTTTAATCCTGCGAGAGTGGCTAAGCCAAATTCCTTCTTAAAGTTCCTGAAACTGGTGCTTAAAATAGGATTCTTAAAAATTCTCCTGGGTGGCTTGGAAGGTGCAGACTGGAGATCACTTCCCCTGCTAGTCAGTCTCTTGCCTGTGCTAGGAAACCTCCCAGCAGCACAAGTTCAGGATGGCTGTAACGTGTGTTCCCTCCTGCCAGTGCTGAGTCCTGGAAAAGTCTCTGTAGTTGGGAATTAATTCAGGATCATTTGCGCATACTTAAATGTTTACTCCAGAGTCACTATGCTGGTTGGTCTGTATGGGCAAGCCCTGTGTTAGGCTCAGCTTTGTCCTAACTAGTTTCTCTTTAAAAAGTGCAGATATAGTGGAAATAAGTGGCTTCCTTTGTGTCCTTTGAAATGAATGTAAATAACTGATAGCTGGCTTGATCTGGCATAGCACAGTGTCTTTTGCAAGAGCTCTTCCAACTTTCTTCAGAGCAACCTTGCCAAATTCCCATGAGAATGTACAAATTAAGGGTGAGAATCAAACTGCATGTTACTCTCCAGTAGAGTGTTAGGAATAAATAAGCTTGCAGTTTTTAATCATTCCCTTCCCATCACATTGATCCTCTGCCGCAGCCAGCTTGCTTCAAAGCTCATAAAATGTGTGGTTTTTGATACCCAGGCCCCTGCTACCACTGTTGGGTGCAAAAGGCAGTTCATGTGATAGGGCTGCCAGTTAAAACTTTAATTGATTTGAGGAGAGAGGATGGGGTTTTTTTCCTAGTAAGTTTGATAATTAGCTGGGTACATGGGGTTTTGAAACTCACATTTTGGGCAGAAGCAAAACCTTCTTAACCTAAATGTGGAATGGAGGCTGACAAGGAGGTGATTGAAATCCAAACACAGCAGGATATAAATCTTTGTACTGTTGCAGAAGATGAAATGGGTAGTTCTGTAGTTGTTCTAGTGCTTAGGCTGAACAGCTGGAGGATTTGGTGGTGGGTCTGTTATTAACATTCTTTGACTACAATTGCAAAATAAGTATCTGTTTCACTTCCATGCTGCCAGGCAAGAAACTTAATTTTGAGAGAGTTTCAGCACATTCCCACCCCCTTGCTGGTCTAATCTCCTAAAGTGTGAATAAACATGATTCCTGAAGCAGTCCACAAACAAGATTCTCCTCTAAAAAGCATGGTTTACTTACAAATAAATAAATAAGTAGCTTTTGAAATAGGTGTGATTTTTCTGTTCTAACAACAGACCTTAAACTTCTGCGACAGCTCTCAAATCCACTTGTCTACAGGTTGAGCAGACTGAGTGCTTAACTTGAATTCAGTCATTCAAATTTAATGCAAGGGAGTCTAAGGTACCTTTTGTACTGGCCTAGGCAAAGACCTGCCCGACTTTGCTCAGGGCAAAGAGGTATCTCGTTTGAAATGAGTTCACTCCCAGCTAATCTAATGTTCGCCATTGCAGTAAAGGGGAGCGAGGTGTTACCTGTTCCAGGGTTGCTTTGTGTCATGGTTCCTAATCTGCAGCAGGGATTGAATGAGCCACAGAGCCATTTTTGGAAAGAAGCTGGTGAACTGTCTCCACTGATCTTATTTTTCTTGTTGACATGTGTGTGGACCTGCTTTTTTTTATTGCTCCCTTGTTTTCTGTTCCTTTTTGACAGTCTCAAATGCTCTGTGGCACTTGCTCTTGGTGTTTTTCATAGGTAGATCTCTGCATGTGTAATCCTACATTGAAAGCATTCCATTTCTAGCACCATGTTTGCTGGAGCTACAAAAATTCAGCTCGAAAAGCCTCATGTAGTAACACTAATATTTCAAGATTGGCCCACTTTCTGCAAGCCATTCTACAGCTGTGTTTCTGGTGGCCTGGATGGCTTTGGAGGATTGCAGTTTCTCAGTTGGAGTCCCCTAATCTGGGGACTTGGAGTCCTATGTTTTGATCTTATTTATATCTGTTTGCACTATTTTTTTACACTACAGATCAGAGCTTAATAACCTCTTGCAAAGAACCCACAATAACTGCAGCAGTTCTGAGCTCTCATTTTCTTAATCACATTGCAGCATTGAGAAAACTCCTAGATTCCTTATTAAAATAATTTCCAGTTGGACCTGAAAAGGTTTTTTTTTTCTAAAAACCTTGTAAGATTCAGCTTGATGATACTTTCTTCAGGCTCTGTTGGTCTCGCATTGTCTGGTTTTAGTAGCACGTGTGTTTGGTGGTTGATTTAGAGTGAACATTGGGGAAAAAAGTTATCCATTGCTTTTCTAGTTCCTGTTCCCCCTTGAAAGAAAACCAAGTCCCAGCAGCCTGAAACATAAACCTCTGACTTTTGAGTGCAGAGAAGAATACCTAGACCTACTTCTCTTTTGAGCACATAGATCCTCTTTTTGGAAACAGGTAGGATAGCAAGTAATTTGTAGCCCAGGGATCCAAAGTTCTGCATTACTATTGTTGGTCTGAAGGTTTTTTTCTGTTATTAGGTCACTTGGTCTGAGGGGCTTTTTTGTTATTAGGTCACTTATCTTTCTGGTGCAGCTCTAATCCAGGTTTGTAGGTGGCTTCTTTCCTGGTTCCTTTCAAGTTTTATGACATGCTGAATCTAAGTCCAGTCTTCCTTTGAGTAACTTTGATTTAGTAAGTCTGAATGCTCACTTTCTAGTTTATCTAGCGGGTTGTCTGTCTCCTGGGCACTTTTTCTGTGTAACCCTGTGACTGCAGCATTACGAGAAACTGGAAGAAACTACATAAATCCTTTCTGGGATTATGAAAGGCACGTAAAACTTCTTGGAAAACAATATCGTTTTCAAGGCTGCTTAGCTAATAACAGGCACCTCCTCTGATCCTTTTTGGGAAATTCATATAACAGAGAATGTTGAGAAGGTCCAGCGTGGAGACTTTTCTGTGTGAAGACAGTAGGGGAGTAGTAGGTGGGAAGGAATTTGCCACCAAGAAACAGAAGTCTTAGCATGCTATGCCTGCAGATTTATTCCCAGAACAAAAATTGCATGTGGGGGTGGGGTTTGCCTCGTGACAAACTGTTCCTTGGCTGTCTGACAGCGCAGCACCCGCAGGTACTGCCCTGCCAAGGGCTTTGCTGGCCTCGCAGAGCTCCTGGGGGATGCGTGCTCGTTCCACCGGAGAGCAGCGGATGTGGGTTACTGCAGGCAGCCCTCCAGCTGCTGTGCTAGGGAGAGGCTCAAGGGGAATGCATCAGGGAGCAGCTCCAG